TTCGGTGGGCCAAATTTTATATATTTGTTTTTAAATTGTTCTTAAATGTTGTGGTTTATATGTGTTTTGATACGGCTGTACACCGCCCTGAGTCCTTTGGGAGAAGGGCGGTATAGAAGTTCAATAAATGAAAATGAAATGAAATGAAATGTCTGGTCTACTGAAAATAGCAGTGACGTGATAGCAGTGTTCCAGTATTTGAAGGCCAGCCACAAAGAAGTCGGGGGTCGACCTATTCTCCAAAGCACCTGAAGACAGGACAAGAAGCAAGGGATGGAAACTAATCAAGGAAACCAACCTAGAAAATTTCTTGACAGTGAGAACAATTAACCAGGGGGAATAGCTTGTCTCCTGAAGTTGTGGTATTCCAACACTGGAGAAGAGATTGGACAACCATTTGTCTGAAATGGTACAAGGTCTCTTGCTTTTTTTTAATATAATTTGATTTATATGCCGCCCTTCTCCGGAGACTCAGGGTGGCTTACAATGTGCTCAGCAATAGCCTTCATCCTTTTGTATATTTTATACAAAGTCAGCTTATTGCCCCCACAAACTGGGTCCTCAATTTACCTACCTTAGAAAGGATGGAAGGCTGAGTCAACCTTGAGCCTGGCGAGATTCGAACCCTGCAGTAATGGCAGGCAGCTGGTCTTAATAACCCATTTGCTTGAGCAAATGGTTGGACCAGAAGACCTCCAAAGTCCCTTCCAATTCTGTTATTCGGTGATTCATTCCCAACAGTCTTTCTCCTCCTATTTTCCCCACAACAACCCTGTGAGGTGGGTTGGACTGAGAATGAACTGTCCAAAATCACCCAATCGGCTTTCAGGTCTAAGGTGGCGCTAGAACTCATGGCCTACTGATTCTTAAGCCGGTACCTTAATCACTAGGCTAAATCAGTTTAAGTATCGCCTTCTTTACACAACTTCCACACTACCATTCAAAGTAATATGGTGAAGAGAGAATCAAAATTGATTTCATGTTGGGGAAAGGTAACGGGTATTGTGTGAATCGATTTCGAATAGATTTCTGAATCTCTTCCCCTGGTTAATTGTCCCCCTAACAGTGAGGACAAAATTAACCAGTGGAACAGCTCACCTTCAGAAGTTATGGGTGTTCCATCACCGGAGATGTTTAAGAAGAGATTGGACAGCCACTTATCTGGAATGCTATAAAGCAGGAGTGTCAAACTGGATTTCTTTGAGGGCTGGATCAGCATTGTAGTTCTCCTCCATGGGCCGGGGGAAGGGAGGGGAGACGAGACAGATGTCTCCTGCAGCACTTTACCGCCCAAAATGGGCCACGCCTCGTTTTTGCCCTCCCTGGGTTCCAGCAGCACTCTGCCAGCCAAAAACAGGCTGTGCGGAGGCCCCCCGAGTTCGCGACCCATTTTGGCCAGCAGAGGCACCGCGTGCTGATCCTTTGATATTTCCAGGCCAGCCCCGCAGGCCAGATTTAAGCACCCCACAGGCCTTGAGTTTGACACCCCTGCTATAAAGTCTCCTCTTCCATGAGGGTTGGACTAGAAGATCTCTGAGGTCCCTTCCAGATGCATTCTGATTGAATTGCCCATCACCCTCCCCTCTCTGGGCATGGTGAAGCATCCGAGGCTTTCCACAGTACAATGAAATGACCCATGCCATCTGGAGTTCTTCAGCCAAATTGTGTGCCCGCAGCATCTGCGTGCTCCACATGACTGAAGGCTACGTTTGTACTTCCACTTGGCATGACATAGCGTCTGGGGATGAAGACAATTGGATAATGAATAAGCCGGGCTGAGGCCTTAGTCGGAGAATAACATTTGCTCTGATTACATTGACTGTGGGGTGACCTTTCCAGCTGGGCCCTATTTTGAAGTGCAAGAAGGAATTTCCAGTTCAGAAAATCCTGAGTAGCATCAGTTACGGAGGCCGGCCAAGTTGGTTCTCCTTCCCCCTGGAGAAGATGATTGGAACAGGCCTCAGAAAAGGACCTTCAAGACAACCATGATCTTTCTAACTGAGGCAGGAGGCAGATCAGAGCCCCAGTTGTGCCCAAGGGCAATACCAGAGGTGAAAGGCTGAGCCCTCAACTCAACAGAGGGATACAATCAAGTTCAAGGGAGGTACTAATACCACTCTATAAAGCCCTGGTAAGGCCACACCTGGAGTACTGCGTCCAGTTTTGGTCACCACACTATAAAAAAGATGTTGAGACTGTAGAAAGAGTGCAGAGAAGAGCAACCAGGATGATGAGGGGACTGGAGGCTCAAACATACAATGAACGGTTGCAGGAACTGGGCCTGGCTGGTCTAGTGAAGAGAAGGACCAGGGGAGACATGAGAGCAGTCTTCTAATATTTGAAGGACTGTCATAGGGAGGAGGGGGTCAAGCTATTTTCCAAGGCACCTGAAGGCCAGACAAGGAAGAATGGGTGGAAACTGATCAAGGAGAGATTCAACCTGGAAATAAGGAGAAAATTTCTGACGGGGAGAGCAATCAACCCATGGAACAGAAGTTGCCTTCGGAAGTTGCGGGAGCTTCATCACTGGAGGCTTTCAAGAAGAGACTCGACTGCCATCTGTCAGAAATGGTGTAGGGTGTCCTGCTGGGGTGGGGGTTGGACTGGATGACCTACAGGATTCCTTCCAACTCTGTTAATCTGTAAAATGCTTCACAAGGACCTTCAAGTCACAATGATCTTTCAAACCGAGACAGGAAGCAGATCTGAGCCACTCCTAAAGCCTTGGGCATGCCAGTACCAGAGGTGATAAGCTGAGTGTCAAGGTTCCAAGTAACACCCCCAACGAAAGAAGACACTCGGAGGTTTGAAGTTCCTCATTTTATTAGAGATGTCATTTTGGCACATCTGGGAAAACCTGAATCTGAAAGCTTCCGGGTTTTCCCCGCCCAAAAGAAAGTCCAAGTCCCTGCCCAGCACCCACATGTCCATCACATGGTCCAATCCAAGCACTGTCCCAACTGGAGATGCCTCCCAGTCACACCACTCCAGGTGCAGGGCAGGATGTCCTTGACTCTCTGAGAAAGGAATGTTATTTTGACTATATATCACTCATACTCTATACAATCCTCCCCTCCCAGTTTCCCACAGCACTAAATGTGGCAGCCAGGAAGATCCAAAGTAAAAGATGTCTTCCAGGGCTGACACTGAGCCCTCAACTTCAAATCTCAGTTAAGAAATGTTCAAGTTTATATTATATTGGAAAACAAAACCAGAATGTAAAATTTAGGTGGTATTGATCTGGTAGATGACCCTCATTTTGTTAAGGACCTGAGGTACAGGTAGTCCTTGAGTTACGACCGCAATTAAGCCCAAAGTGTATGTTGCTAACTGAAACATTGAGTTTTGCCCCATTTTACGACTTTTCCTGGCATAGTTGTTAAGTGAATCGTTGCAGTTCTTAAGTTAGTAACGTGGTTGTTAAGTGACTTTGCTTGTCAGAAGGCCGCAAAAGGGGATCACATGACACGGGGACCCTGCAACCATCATAAATACGAGTCAGTTGCCAAGGATCTGAATTTTGATCACGTGATCATGGGGGATGCTGCAATGGTCCTAAGTGTGAACAATGAAAAATTTCAGTGTGGTTGTAACTTTGAACAGTCAATAAATGAACTGTTGTAAATCGAGGACTATCTGTACTTTACAAGAAAGGTCTTAGTCTTCTGGCCATCATAGCAGGGATGAAATGCTCCTGGTTGGGACCAGTAAAGGTGATCTGGTAGTGATTGTGGGCGGTGATTCGGAGAACCGATAACGATGGCGGAGCGAAGCCATTGTTACTTCTGGGTTTTAACCAGGAAGTAATGTGTTTTTTACCCTCTGCGCATGGGCAGAAGGTTTTGCACATGCGCAGAAGATCTGTGTGCGCATGGGATGCGCATGCACACTTCTGAACCGGTAAGGAAGGTAAGTAGATTTCACCCCTGCATCATAGAATGCTTTATGCCTGTGATGGCGAACCTATGGCACACATGCCCGAGGTGGCACGCAGAGCCATCTTTCCAGGCACACGAGCTGTCGCCCAACTCACCTGCAGCTGCACATGCGTGCGTGCCCCAGCTGATGTTCTGGCTTCTGGTGCGCATGCATGCAATTCTGGTCTTCGGAGCTCTCCTGTGCATGCGCGCGTTTGCATTTGTGCATGTGCATACCTGCACGCAGCACGTGCATGCACAAATGGCATTCACGAGCATGCACTGCGCACACAAAAGCTGTGCAAATGTGCAGATGGTGCAGTTGTGCGTGCAGCGCACAGGGGGAGCTGCACAAAAGATGGTACAATTGCATGCGCAGCGCATGGGGGGTAGCTGTGTATATGTGCAGACGGAGTGGCTCAGTGGTGGGTTTCAAATTTTTTTACTACCGGTTCTGTGGACATGGCTTTGTGGGCGTGGCTTTGTGGGTGTGGCAGGGGAAGGATACTGTAAAATGTTCATTCCCACCCCACCCCAGGGGAAGGGTGTCAGCGTTCCAGAAAAACCCCAATTCCAAGTAAAGATGCGGAAGCAAGCATTTTCCAAAGTTCTCTTTACTAGAATAGGCAAACTGGCACACCTGGGAAAACCCGAATCTGAAAAGCCCGGGTTTTCCCTCAGTAAATCAAAACCCCCAAAACCATCCCCTTTCTCCCCCGTCAATCACATGCTCCAATCAACGTCCGTTCCATCTCGACCAAGCCCCCTGACCACTCTTTCTCCAGATCCTGACCTTGACCGACAGGAAGAATGCTATTGTGTCTACTAACAACCCCTCTCCTTAATCCCCCCTCCTACTTTCCCACACATGAGAAGGTGGCAGCATTAAAACTTCTGGCTTCCAAAGCTGACAAAGGGTACTGCAAAATCTCCATTCCCACCCCACTCCAGGGGAAAGATATTGTAAAATCCCCATTTCCTCCTGATCAGCTGGGACTTGGGAGACAAAGAATAGATGGGGGCGGGACCAGTCAGAATTTTTACTACCGGTTCTCTGAACTACTCAAAATTTTCACTCTCCAGAACTGATCATAACCTGCTGAAACCCACTTCTGGAGTGGCTGTGCCTGCAGCACACGGAGTGGAACCGCATGTAAGCGAAGCATGTACCTGTTTGGCACTCGGTGAGTAAACTGAGCATAAATCTGGTTTATTGAAAATCTTGGTTTGGGTAGTTCAGAACTGCAATGTTGTTGGTGTTTTTTTAAAAAAAGAATTGTGATTAACAAAATTGTCAAATAACTCTGGAGATTCTCAGTCATCCAAATCATGGTTGTCCCAAAGATGCTTTTTTAAAAAAATAACAGGACTTTTTTTGGTTTTCCTTGAAGACGTTTTGCTTCTCATCCAAGAAGCTTCTTCGGTTCTTCTTCAGTTCAGTTCTTCAGAACCGAAAAAGCTTCTTGGATGAGAAGCGAAACGTCTTCAAGAAAAACCAAGGAAAGTCCAGTTGCCTTTCGAAAAAAGCGCCTTTGGGATTGCCAAATAGCAAAATAACACAAATCCATGATGCCTGGAGAGAAATGATATAGAAAATGCAAAACCTCTTATTAAAAAAAAAAAGATAATTTACCATGTATCTAAAATATGACAAATAGTGAGCTTGCTGCTGTTGAGATAAATGATAAAATCTATCAAAATTGGATAGAATTGTGGGACCTTCTTTGTGCGTTTAATTATTTTAACTTTGGGATTATTTTTTCCTAAAGTAGAAATGGAAGAGGCCTTATGAATCCACATCTCAATTGTCACACCATGAAGAGTTTTCCAGTGTTGGTAAATTGTTAATTTAGCTGCAGAAATTAAACAGATAATACATTCCTTATTTTTAAGCTTGAAATCCTGTAAATAATGCAGTAAGCCTACGTCTGGGGAGCATTCAATTCTTTGTTTAGTAATGGTACCTACCACTCCAAAAATGTTAGGCAAAAATAGCATAGTTTTATTTCATAACCACTGCAAATTAAAGACGCCCTCTTTTTCTTATAACCTCTCAAACATTTAGAAGGATAATTTTGATATAGCCCTGCCATTCTAATTGGAGTCAATGTATAATTTTCCGGTCATGTATAATTTTTCCACTGCAATTCTTGCATGGAAGTTGAGATGATATGATGTGATTCTAAAAGACAATAAAAGCATTTGGGGTTTTTTTCTACCATAACAAGATGAATAAACCCCAAACTCATAGTCCTTGTGTTCACCGTTTGGTCTTCAGTTTGATTTTCTTCTTCTTCTAAGGTGCAGGGGTGGGTTCTACTTACCTTTACCTCTGGTTCGCAATGGGATCGCGCTTCGCTCGTTCACACACCTTGCTTCTGCACATGCGCAGATCGCTGATGATGACATCCGGGGTGGTGGGTGGGGCCTCCCACTGGTTTTACTACCGGTTCTTGTGAACCGGTTCAAACCGGGGGCAACTCACTACTGCAAATTCAAGGCCCGTGGGCTGGATCCGGAATTGGCCTAGAAATATCAAAAGACTGGCCCTCGGTGCCTCTGCCAGCCAAAATTGGTCATGCAGAGGCCCTGCATGGCCCATTTTCGGCCTCCACAGCCTCCTGCAGCACTTTGGTGGCCAAAAATGGGCTGCACGGAACCCCACGAGGCCTCTGCATGGCCCGTTTTGGCCGGCAAAGTGCTGCAGGAAGCATCTCCCCCCCCGATCCCTGCCCACCTTGGCCCACAAAGGAGAACTACAATACTGATCCGGCCCTCAAAGAAATCCAGTTTGACACCCCTGTTCTAAGAGGTGAGTAGAGTATAAATATTTGAAATATTAGAAAATCTGTTTGTGAGCTGATGGGGGGGCGGGATGAAATTTGTTGGAAATATGAAGGCAATACGGTGACCATTAAGGTGGATTTGGGGACCTGCCGAACTACCTACCTCATGGGCATTTGCCTTTTTCATAACTGGTTTAATTAAAAAAAAACAGATTCTGTGCTCCTGGAATGTTTTGCAAGATTCATGTTAATATCTTCTAACCCCGCCTTAGCACTTTTCTATATCTAATATATTTTTGCCTCTGTTCAACGAAACTAGCAAGATTGCCAGTAAGTCATTCTTATGCAGTTTCAGTGTCCTTTTGTTTTGAGATCAGCATACTTTCTTGGTGCTGAAGGGATAGCTCAGCAAATTTTGGATAACCTAAGGTGATTTTTCCCCTGGAGATTTACAGGACAGCATCTATTTTAATTTTAAGTAAAATACTCACTCTACTGTGAACATAGACAGAATATATGCCCTTTGGGATGTGTGCATACAATTTCAGAACGCTAGGCAACTCTTATGAGAAAATGCCAATAATGTGGGAGATTTCCTTATCTGTAAAGTAAGTTAGGGCAAGAGATCCATTTCTTCGGCTAAAACAGGATATAATGGAAACAGAGTGCAATACTTATCCCCGTCCAGTAAATTGTCACTTTAAATAACTTCACTATTAGCAAGGAAAAAACCTTGTCTGGATATTCAGAACCCAAGAGCCAAGCGCAACATGGTTCGTTTTCCTTCAGGATCTGTCCATGGTGCCGAAAACCTTTTGCCCTGTTAGCTGCTTCGACAACAACAGGTAATCCTTGACTTATAACCACAATTGAAGCAGGGGTGAAATGCTCTCGGTTCGGACCGGATGGCCCCATCCGGTAGCAATGGAAACGGGTGGTTCGGAGAACCGGTAGCAAAAATCTCTGTGCCCCTCTGCCCCCTGCCCATGCCCCCCGCCCAGGCGCAGCTGAGCTGTGCGATCATCAGAGGCTTTTTTTAAAAACTTTTAAAAGCATTTTTTCTACAACCTCTTCAGCAGAAAAAATGCTTTTAAAAGTAAAAAAAAAAAGCCTCTGATGATCGCAGGGCTCAGCTGGGATTGTCGGAGCCTTTTAAAAGCATTTTTTTCTACAACCTCTTCGGCTGAAGAAGTTGTAGAAAAAAAATGCCTTTAAAAGCCTCTGACAATCCCTGCCAGGGTGGATTTGATTTAAATCGAGTTGACTTAAATCACAATTTAAATCATGATTTAAATCACTAGTAAAAAGGCTTGATTTAAATCAACTCAATTTAAATCATAATTTTTAAAGAGCAACTGTCATCTCTGCTACTCCTTTGACCCACCGTTGACTCACCGATAGTCCCAGTGTTGCAGAATATACAGCCTCATGCTACATAACTAAGCTCCATTTCATGCTGAATAAACTAAATTATTTATGTCTCTTAAAGAGAAAACTATCTTGCGATAGATTTTTACCCCAAAAGTTTTTTATTAAAATAAATTCGATAAAAATAAAAAAATATCCGATTTAAATCAAAAATATCCGATTTAAATCAAAAAAATCTGATTTTTTTGATTTTTTTTAAAAAATCATTGATTTTTATCCACCCTGATCCCTGCTGAGTTGCCTGATCGTCAGAGGCTTTTAAAAGCATTTTTTTTTTTACAACCTCTTTGGCTGAAAATTTGTAGTAACAAATTTTACATTTCACCACTGAATTGAGGTCAAAAATCTCTTATTGCGAAGCAAGACCGTGGTTAAGAGAGCTTTGCCCCATTTTACAAGCTTTCTTGCCAGAGTTGGTACGTGAATCACTGCAGTGGTTAAGTTAGTAACACGATTGTTAAGTGAATGAAATATTTCCCCATTGACTTTGCTTGTCAGAAGGTTGCAAAAAGTGATCCAGTTGCTGGGTGCCCAAATTTTGATCATGTGACCACAGGGATGCTGCAATGGTGGTAAGTGTGGAAAACGGTCATAAGTCACTTTCTTCAGTGCTGTTGTAACTCCTAACGGTCACTAAATGAATGGTTGTAAATAGACAACTGCCTGTAAGGGCATGTACTAGTTAGCAAGGGCCTTGCTTGCATTTTGTTATGATGAGTGAGCCATATAGATTAGATTTTTATTTTTTTTAAAAAAGGTGCCTTTTTATTTTTATAAATAACTGAAGGTAGCATGCGTATCTAATACTCCCTCCTTCTGTTTTCCCCACAACATGTGGGTTCAGCTGAGAGAGAGGGACTGGTCCAAAGTCATCCAACCAGCTTTGATGCCTAAGGCAGGACTAGAACTCACAGTCCCCTGGTGATTGGCTCCAGTCCCCCAGGTATCTTTTATGCCTAAGGCAGGACTAGAACTCACAGTCCCCTGGTGATTGGCTCCAAGTCCCCCAGGTAGCTTTCATGCCTAAGGCAGGACTAGAACTCACAGTCCCCTGGTGATTGGCTCAAAAGTCCCCCAGGTAGCTTTCATGCCTCAGGCAGGACTAGAACTCGCCATCCCCTGGTGATTGGCTCAAAGTCCCCCAGGTATCTTTTATGCCTAAAATGGGACTAGAACTCACAGTCTCCTGGTGATTGGTTCAAAATCGCCCAGCCAGTTTTCATGCCTAAAGCAGGATTAGAATTCACCTTCTCCTAGTTTCTAGCCTGATGCTTTAACCACTAGACCAAAATGATCAACGATGCTAACTTTTGAAATGTTTGGACATGCACACCTACACAGAAACACCATCTTTTCTTTCTTTTATCAATGTCCTAGTTCGAAAGATGCCATCTCTATTCCTTAAAAAAAAACCTGGCTAGAATCAAGTTAGTATATTTAAATTGATTTGGCTCATTCTAAGAAAGCTTCAACCCTCCACATTTCTGAAATTCTTTGGGATTTTTCCTTCCTTCAATGTTTCTTTTTTTTTTTAATCCAAAAGCATTAAAGGGATTCAGGAGCTAATAGGCTTATGACTCCAGCTGTTTTTCTTGGCTTTTGAGAACAAAGTTCCCTCCGTCATTTCTGTCGTGACAGGTGCTGCTACCGCCATCGATGTTTGACGATGCGGCAGAGTTTATGAGCAGCCTGGAGCTGCAGAGGTGACTCATTCGGAGCTCCGGAACCATCAACCTCTGCACTGCAAGAGGCTCTGTAGGTCGCTGAGGAAGCTCTTTGACACCTTCAGTTGACGCGTTACTTTCTGTGCTTTTTTTCCAGGAGTTCTTGAAATATCCAGGAGTAAAATAGCAGCAACGGGTGGAGTGAATCCTAAGGCTTGCAGCCGAAAGATAGTCCGAGGAAGCTGACCTTCATGAGCGTGGCTGTGTATCCTACCAGGTGTTGTGGCCTGTGAGCAGCTGGCCCCTCCAACAGCCGAATCAGAGGAGGAGGAGGGTGGGAGTCAGAGTCAGCATCAAGGCAACCTGAGAGCTCCGAGGGGGAAGAGGGAATGGAGCTGGCAGAGAGGGAGAAAGAGGCGGAGCCTGGGCCATTCATCAGCCCTCAGGTGGACAGTCAACATCCTCCAGGTCTGGAGGTGGCTGATGAGGAAGAGGAGGAACAGCTGGGTCCAGTGCCTGACGCGTGGATGTGCAGAAGGCAGAGGAGAGGAGGGCAGTGGAAATCCATGGGCCAGTCCTTGGAACGGAAGAGCCACTGCTGCTAGCAAAGCCCCACCCTAGCTCTGGGGATAAAAGGCAGGGGCAGAAATGAATAGGTGTGGCAAACAACACCTATTCCAGTTGGGCAAACTTGTTAGCCTGCGAGAGAAACTTTTTGCCAGGACTGCCGGCATTCCTAATAAAGGAATGTTTGTTTATGTTTATGTTTATGTTTTATGTTTTATTAAATTTGTATACTGCCCTACTCCCAAAGGACTCAGGGCGGTGAACAGGCACAGAATAAAATACAGAAATACAAAAGTTAGAAACAATTTAAAACCAAATTAAATAATTTAGCCCAAGACAATTAAAAATCCCAATAATTTAAAATAAATTAAAATTTCAGTTTAAAAATTTAAAAGAAAGGGGAGAAAAAAATAGGCCAGGCCGGCTTGCTGGAATAGGAGGGTCTTAAGAGCACGGAGGAAAGTGCGCAGATCCAGGATCCTCCATATCTCTGGGGGGAGCTCGTTCCAGATAGTGAGTGCCCCCACAGAGAAGGCCCTCCCCCTGGGGGCCGCCAGTCGATACTGCTTGGCTGGCGGCACCCAGAGGAGCCCCTCTCTATGGGAGCGTACCGGCTGGTGGGAGGCTGTTTGTGGTAGTAGGCGGTCCCGTAAATAACCAGGTCCTAAACCATGGAGCTCTCTAAAGGTGGTAACCAAAACCTTGAAGCGCACCCGGAAGACCACCGGGAGCCAGTGCAGCTCGCGCAGGAGAGGTGTCACACGGGAGCGCCATGTTACGCTTTTTTAACGTGAACTCAATCTTTTGAGTTCACATTAGGGGGATTGTCGTGTTTGGGGAGCTGGGTCAGAACACCAGGGTAGAAAGCTTAGTTCTCTAAAGAACCTAAATATTTGCACACAAGTCAGCTAGCCTTTTTTTCCTCTTTACCAGCTTTGAGTTGAGCTGTTCACTTGTGTGGCGATGAAACGAGCTCCCGTTGCTACGGAGATGGTCGGAGGCCTTTACTCTTCTGATCTGGCTCATCACCTCCGTGAATAAGCACCAAAAGTTGTGTGTGAATGTTTGAGCGAGACTAAAGCAAGGTCTTCAGTGGCAAAACTGAACAGAGAACAAGCAAGGCGTTTTCTTTGCTAACTAAACATGGGAGAGTTGTGTTAGTTTTCTTCAGGGGCAACTCTGCATGTTCTAATCCAAGGATTAGGGTTGAGAAAGAAGGACCCGCCCAACATCTTCCCAAGAAGCTTCTGTGGCTGAGGTGGGACTTGAACATGGATCTGCATGATGCTTGTTTAACACATTCTCCACTGGATCACATTAATAGTAATATAGTAGTAGTCATCATCATCATCGGTATTGGTTTAACACCGTCTCCACTGGATCACACTACTAGCAATCTAGTAGTAGTAATCATCATTGACATTTATCTTGGTGTTAATTCAACACCTTCCCCACTGTATCACACCAGTAGTAATCCTGTAGTAATAATCATTATCAACAGAATCCTTCTTGGTGTTGGTTCAACACCTTTCACACTAGTAGTAATCTAGTAGTAGTAATCATCATTGTAAATCTCCTTGGTTTTTGTTCAACACTTTTCCCACTGGATCACCCTAGTAGTAACTTAGTAGTAGTAGTAATCAGTGTCATTTTCCTCCTCCTCTTGTATGGTCAAGCACACCCCTCAGTGTAACCCATCATAATGCTTATTTTGGAAATATCATCCTTCTGCTGTTCTGAGGCATTTGGGAGATATAATGAGAAGGAGAATGTTCTACTGGGGTCATATTTTTTCCTAAATACCATTTCAGAAAAAAACAGCACCATTGCATGCTGTTGCTGCTGCTGCGGATAGTAACTAAAGCAATGTTAACCAAAGTAAATATAAAGCAACATCTGGACCTGAATCAAAGCAACTGGAATTACAACTTCTATTTAGTCATGCAGTAATTGTTCCCTTTTACTATTATTTGGCCCAGCCCACCTCACAGGGTTGTTTTGTGAGGTTTTGGGAAGAAGAATGTGGTAATATAGATATCCACATAATGTTTGACTTTCCAGTGATCAGGCTACCCACAGATAATCATAGTTTGTCTTATTACAGGTTAGTCCATCATGAAATTAATCCCATATTGCAGATAAAGAATATGATGTTGAGAGAGTTCTGTAATTTTCCACAAAACTTGTCCAGCCTTTTCATTTTCATTTGAGAGCATAGCACACAGTAAATTAATTTAATCTGGGAAACAAATATTGTAGTTAAAGATTTAGATGCGATAGTAAATGATATTCCTAAAATGTAGAATTTGTCATTTTAGGAAGAATTTTGGCTCACTTGAGAGAAGGGTTCAGCAAAAAAGATAATTTTATATCATTGGAAAGAAACTTATCCTCTTAATATTAAGAGATATCATCAGTTTTGGAGAAGTCTTTATATTCTAAAAATGAGAAAATGAAGCAATATACTTTTACATGTCCAGATTTAATGATACGTGCAAGGACAGAATTAAATCCCATTGGGATGCAAATGGATATTATTTGGCCCTTTTTTTTTGTATATTAGCTTTTGCAGGTTATTTCATTATATAATCATTTTTTTGTTGGCATTATGGTTGTCTGTATTTCACCATATAATAAAATAGTAAAGAACGTGAAAATGTAAATGTCGGTTCAGGCTAAAGAGAGATTTCCCCACCAAAGACGTCAAATTCAGAATTTATTAAAACAAAAATAGAAGCAGCAGAAAAGAAATGAAAAATGTTGCTTGGATATTCTTAGAATAGCAAGATAGTTATTGGCCATATAAATAAAATAAATGCCTGGCATCCTGATAGAAAGTGATTAAAAATAGCACAAGACTGATAGTTTAAAAATCTTTTCTTGAACGACCTTTCAATTTTTGGTCAGTTAACAATAAGTATACTTGAGCTGGTTTTCCCAGATGCAATGGATGGCTGTGAAAGTTGGACCATAAGGAAGGCTGAGCGCCAAAGAATTGAGGCCTTTGAACTCTGGTGCCGGAGAAGACTCCTGCGAGTCCCTTGGACTGCAAGGCGATCCAACCGGTCAGTCCTAGAGGAGATCAACCGTGACTGCTCTTTAGAAGGCCAGATCCTGAAGAGGAAACTCAAATACTTTGGCCACCTAATGAGAAGGAAGGTCTCACTGGAGAAGAGCCGAATGCTGGGAACAATTGAGGGCAAAAGAAGAATGGGACAACAGAGAACAAGGTAACTGGATGGAGTCACTGAAGCAGTTGGTGTAAAATTAAATGGACTATGGGGGATGGTAGAGGACAGGAAGGCCTGGAGGAACATTGTCCATGGGATCGAGATAGGTAGGACACGACTTCGCGACTAACAACAAAACAACAACATATTTGAGACGTTTTGGAGAAAGTGGGTTTTTTCTTTTTCTTTTTACAACCCCGTAATCCCTTTTATCAAGGTAGAGTCTGGATGATTAAATGGAGCTTAGCATTTACTGGCTGGATGCCCTTCCTGACACCTATGTGGAGTTCACAGCAAATATTTTCTCTTTGCGTTCTGATAAAGAAACAGCTCTCACTGCCTAGGATTGACTGCTCAGCCTCCTGAGTGTGAGGAGAGTGTCTTGACCTCTAGGCCCACCGTGTGGCTTTGGAAAAAGGGGCTTAACACTGCTTTAAAATAACCATTTTTAAAAAAAAATGAGATGCGTTTGGATTACTTTGGAAGATGCAACTCTGCATGCTCTAATCTTATTTCTGAGAAATTCAATGTCAAATGATTACATGTTTTGGTCCAGTTGCTACCAAGGGCTATTTTACTTAATTTTCTGTTGCCTAGAGGGGTGGGATATTGCAAAAAATAAATATATGTTGAGATTATTCCCTTAACTTCTTAAAAGCTCAATGATAGCTTTTCACAACTGCCTTAAACTGTCCTGGAGAACACAGTTTTTGTCCTCATGATTTTTCTTCTCCGGTGTAAAAAGTACAATTTTTTTTTTTTTTTTTTTGAGGAATGATTCCTCTGCAAGATTGGTAGTGAAGGGCCAGGTCTGAAAAAGGACATAATGCAGCTGGGAAAAGCTCAGCAAAGGACAACTACAATGAACAGGAGGTGCAAATATGTTCCTTATTGGAAACAAGCCAGAAAGTTTGAGACAGCTTCGACAAATGGGTTGAATGGCCAAGGAATGTGAGACAGGATGTGAACAAGGCATGACACGGGGATGAATATGAGCCAGCTGTGTGCTACAGCTGCCAAAAAAGACAACACAGTTCTAGGCTGCACTAACAGGGATAGAATCAAGCTCACGTGAAGTGTTAATACCACTTTATAATGACTTGGAAAGGCCACACTTGGAATATTGCATCCAGTTTTGGTCGCCACGATGAAAAAAAGATGTGGAGACTCTGGAAAGAGTGCAGAGAAGAGCAACAAAGATGATTAGGGGACTGGAGGCTAAAACATGAAGAACGGTTGCTGGAACTGGGCATATCTAGTCTGATGAAAAGAAGGGCTAGGAGTGACTTGATAGCAATCTTTCAGTATTTGAGGGGCTGCCACAAAGAAGAGGGAGCCAAGCTATTCTCCAAAGCACCTGAGGGCAGGACAAGAAGCAATGGGTGGAAACTAACCAAGGAGAGAAGCAACCTAGAACCAAGGAGAAATTTCCTGACAGAACAATTAATCAGTGGAACAACTTGCCTCCAGAAGTTATAAATGCTCCAACACTGGAAGTTTTAAAGAAGAGATTGGATAACCATCTGTCTGAAGTGGCCTAATAGCAGTAGCAATAGCACTTAAGACTTATATACCGCTGCACAGTGCTTTATAGCCCTCTCTAAGCGGTTTACAGAGTCAGCCTCTTGCCCCCAACAATCTGGGTCCTCATTTTACTCACCTCGGAAGGATGGAAGGCTGAGCCAACCTTGAGCCTGGTGAGATTTGAACTGCCAAATTGCAGGCAGCCGATGGTCAGCAGAAGTAGCCTGCAGTACCGCACTCTAACCACTGTGCCACCATGGCTCATGGTAGACTAAGCAGGGGGTTGGACTGGAAGACCTCCAAGGTCCTTTCCATATCCTACTCCTACTCCTACTCCTATTCCTACTTCTACTCTTATTCCTATTCCTATTCCTACTCCTATTCCTACTTCTATTCCTACTCCTACTCCTACTCCTGCTTCTACTCCTGTTCCTACTCCTATG